TGTTTGTTGCATTTTTTGGGGGGAGAAATTTTTCACTGATTGAGGGGGAGCTCTATATTTTTACTGGTATTGGGCCTCGAAAATCTTTTAAAAAGGCATTGTGTGCTAGCCCAATCATTCGGGATCAACTGTTACGGAGGAGGTCCAAAAATTTTCTCGCGTATAAAAGCCTCGCGAAAAACCCTTCTCTCCCATTCTGATTTTTTACGGAGGCCAAATTTTTTCGCAAGGCAGAGCTCTCAGATCGTTCCTTCTTCCTCTTCCCAAAAACCTCTGTTTTCGCAAACCCTTCTCCTTCTCCGATTCTCTTTCTCGACATCCTTCTAAGGTAGAACTTCCATCGTTTTCGAGTTCCATAAAAACGTTTCAACGAACAAACGTTCTCGCAGAACGATCGCCCCTTTTCTCAAAATCGAAATCAAAAAATTCAAATTTTTTTTCGTTTGAATGTATGTCGAAATCTTGTTGTTATCATTTTAGTATATCATGTTTACGTTTTTACAGGTGGTTTAATCTCTTCGAAATCATGATTTCGAGATCCTGTTTTTCAAGATCTCGAGATCGTCGATTCATCTTCTCGAAATCAAGATCTCGAGATGGGCATCTCGACATCTTGATCTCGAGATTTGAATCTCGAAATCAAGATCTCGAGATTTGCATCTCGACATCTTGATCTCGAGATTTGAATCTCGACATCAAGATCTCGAGATTTGTATCTCGACATCTTGATCTCGAGATTTGAATCTCGAAATCAAGATCTCGAGATTTGAATCTCGACATCATGATCTCGAGATTCAGATCTCGAGATTTGGACTTTGCAATATTTTTCAAAATTCCACCTGCATAAACTTATCTGAAACCTGCATATCAAACTCTTTCAATCTAATCAACGATGATTTTCATATGTTGACCCCATGCTTCTACAGCTTATAATGGCAGGAACAACTCAAACGCAGATCGATGATGCCATCTACCCCAAAGGGAAATGGATCAAGGTGCTGGACAACAATTTCCAGCCAGACCTTGCAGTGTTCAAGTGCCAAAACCCAGTGGTTCCAGCAATCATGAAAGGTCACTATCTCTGGCCTGCACTTCACAACACAAAACCAGTGCCAGAGATATACCTACAACAGTTCTGGGGTCATATGCATACGGATTCACTGAAGGATCGCTCCAAGATAAAGACCAAATTGAACGGCATGCGGGTGATTCTGACACCATCCGCTCTACGGGCTACTCTAGCGCTACCAATCCATGACGAATACGATGCGCTGCCGTCCATCCCAGATTTACTCAAAGACGTGGCATCTCTTGGCTACACCTCATTACTGCCACAGCTCTCCAACTTCAACGGAGCATATCTTCATCATCCATGGAAGAGCCTCTTCGGGCTGGTGAACAAGTGCCTGTCACCCAAGCATGCCGGATTCGACAAGTGCAACAAGCAGATCCTGCTAATATTTCATGGCATCGCTTTCAACAAGAACTACGACTTGGCACAGCTCTTCTTCTCAGAGCTAATGGACTTGGTCAAAGCCAAAGAGAAGAACAGACCAGGTACCATCCCGTACGCAAGATGGCTCGGGCTAATCATCAACGACTGCATGTCAGAGCACTCTTCAATACCAAAATGCAGCTCAGATCCACACTTCACCGCACCGAAGCTGCAATACTTCAAAGTAGACAAGAACCCTGTGTTCGGTCTACGGATCCCTGGGTATCTGCTCAACCTTGTCAAATCTTCAAACCTAGCAGTTCAACAATACAAGGAAGCCACTGAGAGAACCGTCCCTATGGTTCAGCAAAACCCAGCTGGACCTACCCCAGGGACGAAGCCGAGTGTAGGTAAGGGTCCAAAGAGAGCCCAAAAGCCACAGAAACCAGTGGCCGGTTCGCCCAATGAAGGAAAGTCTGACGACTCTCTAGAGACGAGTCAGGCGGCTGAGGGCACCGAAACAGACGCTGAGGAAACTGCCAATGAGTCGTCAAGTGATGCCCAAACACACACTACCAATGAGGCATCCGAGAGCGTGGGCACAGATAGCGCGGAATCTGGCTCGGATGATTATAATGACGACAATGACAGTGAAGATGTTGAGCACACATATGCCCTGATCAGAAAAGGAAAGCTGCCAGTCGAATGTCCACAGAAGAAAAGAATCACTGCTGAAGGTGCAGCACCGATAATAGCTGGCAGACCCCAAGTCTTCACTATCAAGGAGATAGCTAAACCGAGAGCCGATCCCAGCGAGACAAACTGCTTCAAGGACGACTATGACGAGGCAGCTCATACAATTAAGAATTCTAAAGACGTCGTCATCCGGGAGAAAAGGGCCAAGGTTAAGAATGACAAGGCTAAGTCAAAGCCCCAGCCCCGAGTCAGAAAGAGCCTGATTGATAAGGCAGACGAGCACATCTTCGCTGGCTGCGATACCTTTATCCAGATAAGCCGAGCTGAATCTTTAAGTACAGGAGCCGATCTTTTCGGTTCCCGGGTAGAAGTCGCAGCATCTGGCTCAACTGCGCAAGCACAGCCCTCTCCCAGCCACTCGATAGCCTCTCAACAGGCTATTGTTTCAAAAGAACGGGACTCCACCCCCTCACTTGTTCCTTCCGAATCAGTTGAGCGTACAATTGACCTATCGCCCGAGGTCAAAACCCCTTCTTCAAGCACATTGAGTCTAGGTGTCACATTCCCTACATTTTCTTCCTTTTCTAGGACACCTACACTATTCACTGCACATACAGGTGCACACACCCTGAACGCGACAACCAGAGCGCAAGCTATGACGGTTGGAAGCCCTGCTACGCCCTCAATGATTCCATCATTGCACGCAGGCCACACATCAGCAATCTTCACTGATGCTGTGACAACAGTTACAACCCCCGTAACTGGTCACCCAACCTTTGAAGACGTAAACGTTCTACTAAATCGCTTCCTAGATTCCACCATTAAACCATGGGTGCAAGATGCAATGACCGCTCTAGCACAGGAATTTAGGACCACCCAAGCGGTTCGGTCTGAACAAACCCCACCCCAACCCTCACCTGAACCTTTCATTTCCCATACACAACCCGTATCCTCCACCCCTCTATCTCACCAATCCATTAACCAAATACCCGTCCCTTCACATTCTCGGGGAACCCAGAATACAGAACTAGTATTCTCCCCACACCCGACCACACCCTCCATCGATCTCTCCTCACTATCCTTCGACACCCTTGCATCGGCTTTGCTGGACAACCTTCTTAACATCCCCGAAGCCAAACTTACCCGTCACCAGCAAGCCATACTCGAAGCCCTCCTTTCTTCCCCGGAAACCAAGAGCAAGTGCAAGGAGAGTCCTCGTGGTCGCAAACGTTCCCATGAGGACCCCGATGATTCGGATCCTCATGTGGGGGAGAACAAGCGACCTCGATCACTTGAGCAAACTGCTTTACCAAGCCAAACTCCACAGCCCATCCAACCCGAAACCTCTATAAACCAACAGCCACCACCCACAGCCAAAATATCTAGCCTGGTCGAGCTAGAAGTAACATCCTGAGGCATGTCTCCCAGAGATACCAACCGAGGAGGGGATGGAAGTCCTGATGATGCTACCACTGGTACATCTTTTACATCAGGCCATCAGTTAGAACCTAGTTCTAAACTGATGTCAACGGGCAATCCAAGTGAACCCGGTTGTGCTACCCAGGAACAATCACCGCCTCAACAGCAGCAAAGAGTTCCATACATTTCCCCAGGCAAGGACATCCACGATGCACTGGAGGAGGCGGTGATATATGATAAATGGCCAAGACAATGGACAGAATGGGATGATCTCTGCAATGAGGCTGAAGTAGAGGACATGCAGAGAAATTGGTGGCTACGAGAGCTAATCAACAAATGTACTGAAGATATCATCAGGCTCGAGGACGATGAACGCAAGGAAGGGGAGAACTACAAGGAATCCCATAAAACTCTTGAATCCGTCGTAAGACAATCAGCGGGAAGACTTCCCAAGACAGAGAAACCCTGGGACAACGTTCGAATCAAAGCCCCCTTCCAAGAGGAAATCAGAGAGCATATCTGGCGTAGACCAGACAAAGTCAAACCGTTGAATGAACTGAAGCTAAGAGGCCTTACCCATCTAAAAGGAAAGCAAGCTGGAGGTCATCTGCATATGCTATTACAAAGGTCAACCGGTACTCAGAGAGAGCTGATGGAACAAGATTTGAAGTCCAATATTCTCCCGATTCATCAAATTCTACAAGTGAAGGCCGAGGATTATCATGGAGTGACATTCCATACTTACAGGCTTCAACGCACTGACGGGAGTGAATTTACTTGCCAAGAGAATGATTTCATCATGCTTAAACCTGACGACATCTATCAAATGTTCATGTCCTATCGATACCTTCCAGTCAGGCAGAGCAAAACATACAGCGAAGGTCTTGCAGCAATCAAGAGATTCATGCTCAGACAGATCAGAGTACATTCTTCACACGACCTACAGATGGCTATTGAGTGCAACTTGACAAAGACAAATCTGACAAAGCCAAGACTGTATGGTCCAGAACTCGAAGACTTCCCAGCTTACCACATCTTCTTCACACCGCCAGCAGCCACTTATCTGAACCACAAGAACGAAAAGCGTCTGATGGTAGTCAATGAAATTGAGAAATACTGTGACGGAACGCTGAAGATAATCAAAGAACAGCTTCTAAAGATAAAGGCACAGCTAGAGGAAAATCTTCAGGAGGCATCGTCATATGTTCAAAAGGAACACTCTACAGTAGAGACAATTTTAAAGACCATTGACGATCGCCTAGAAAAGAGAAATATGCTGAGGCAATATGAGCATGCACTAAATATGAGGAAGCACTACTTCAAGTCGCATAAGCAATTACAAAGTGGCACTTGATCACAAAGGGGGAGATTGTTGGAGATATTTTAATTGTGAATCAAGTTTGTCATAGATTAGCTTTATTATTAATCCTTGTATTGAATTAGTGCATGTATTAAATAGGATGTGGGCCAAATGTTAGGCCCATATAACCAGGCTAAAAGCCTTGTACGCCTAACCTAAACCTCGCCTATAAAAAGGGAGCCGAGGGTTTAGGATTAGGTTAACGTCGTACTTATTCACTATAGCCTTACGCGCATATCTTTATGTTGTACGAGTTCACGGTCTATCAAAGAGGGTTTTACATTGATTCAATCTGTGTTCATCCTTACGTTTAAATCTTTGTTGTTAGATCGTTATTCATTGCTGTTACAGAAACAGGGACTATCACGCTTCATGCCGAACGTCATGGATCTCCCAGCTCGAGCATATCGAACGGATTCCACTGCATAATAAGCATAGTAATACGGTCGTACGGCCGAACAACACATATATACATACAATGTAAATGTATAAACATTTTGTTACCATCCAAGACGGTAATAATAACCCTCGGCCTGGATTTATTTCTCAAACTGTGAGAATCCCCGTACTGGGTACAGTTGTCGAGCGGGCACTCACTGCCGAACGAGACCATGAATGGTCTACAAATAAAGATACGTCATCAGACAATGCCTTTGCGAGACGCTCTAGTCAGCTAATTTGAGCCGATCGGGGGACCTGCCGAATGGTAAGGTGTCGGAACCGGGCAAGGCGATGGCCGATCTGGAGTTCATACCATGCGGGAAGTTCCCTTCCGATTTGCTCTGGCTACTAGGCGCCTTTGTGGTAGCATTCAGTATGTATTGCTGAACGGAAATCTTCTATGCGGCACTCCCCGGACAGGTCCAACCAAGAGAGAGAGTCTCCGACAGGATACTGCTGTGGGAGCGGTAGCTTTAAGCTCCATGACATCCCTTACTGACAGAAACTCGTTGGGCTTTCCTTCTGAACCATGACGGATGGGAGAATTACACCCAGGGTCAGGTGAACCAAGATCAAGGTGGAGATGCTGGACGGGAGGTGCCAGGCGGATATGGCCGAGCAGCGTATGGCCGAATAAGGAGGTGGCTAAATGATGGAATCCCAAGTGAAAATGGCCGTGCGGCGTGCTGGCTTTGGTAATGGACTATATTCCTTTGTGTTCAAAAATCGTTCGGAAAATCCGACCAGTAACGACCTAGCAGACTGGTAAAACAGATCCTCGAAGATAGATAGGTGGAAAATGTTGGCCGACGTGTACCGACCGGCGGTCATCACTTGGCACACGAAAGCAAAATGCTCAGGGATGCCAAGCTGGAAAGTACCGATAAGGTTTGGCGACATGGTGCTCTTGGGCTGGGTTTCCTTGCTACTGGGGCCAGGTCGGGAGTTCCCGTTCAGCCGGTTAAACTGCCATACTGTGAATTTTCCGTCGTTCTGTTATTTACCAGCACGCGGTGGTGGTCAGTCGGGCTGCTTTGATCGCCGGGAGAGGCCCCGAACGGGAAAGCTCTCTCCCTCTTTCGGGGATGTTCAGGATAAGTCCCGCTCGGGACTGTGGTGATTCTACTGAAGCATAGTAAATAGTTGAGGGGTTGAAGCAGGAGCTTATATCTTTACCGAGAAGACTGGTTCTGCTCATTCCCACCGGGTAGATAGCTTGCTGCTGGAGAATTCAAAAATCGCCCCCTGCAAAATAAGATTCGGGTACCGCCCGGGCTTAACATCTTAGTTATCATGTGGTTCAACGATCTCCTCTTTGCTAACCATTCTCATCCATTTGAGAAGAGACTGCCGTTCGAGCAGATTGGAGGTTCCTTAGTGAACAGGATCTATGTACTAATGTACTGCAGTTGTCGATTGGAAACTCCTCACCTCCCAGAGACTTTTCACTCTAGGCTTCAGGATCCACGTAAGTTTTCACCTTTGGTTGATACTGCTGGGCTGAGTGTGGGGTACATCCAGGATAAAGATCTGTCATTTTACCTTTGCTACTTGCTTCCTACGTTCCTTTTTCCTTTATCTTTCTTCAAGGAGTCGTTGTATGAGTCTAGATGTGAAAAAATCCAGATTCTTAACTTCCCAACCTGCCTTTTTGCTAGTTTGCTTTGTGTATGAATTTTGTGTAGAAAACATGAATCTTTTTGAACAAGATTCCCACAGACGACGCTAATGTTGAATTTAAGTCCAACATAAACTAATAGATATAGATATAATTTGATATAACACTCGATATTTATGTGGAAATCCGAAATGGAGAAAATCATGGAACTTTTTAAGCTAACATTCAAGCCCGCTCTTTCTCATTAATACTCTCCTCACCATTTACATAGTACAAATATTGAACCTCCATTAATGGAGGTCGTAAGCTCTAATGAAAAGAAGAAAGAGGGAGGAAGAAGCCCTTCCAGGGAGAAGAGCAAAAAACCGATCCTGGAGAAGGCCTTTCCTTCTCCTATTTATAGAAGGGGAGGGCCTAAATGGGCCAATGGGTCCAGATGGACCTATGGGCCTAATATGGGCCGGTTGGGCCGAAATATGGGCCGGGTAGGCCTAACCGATTGGGCTCCGCGCCAGGTGGTGCCTTGGGCTCCTGAACAATAATAGACTGGGATAATATTCCCCAACAACTACTTCTTACCATTTCTTCAAACACTCCCATAAGCAATTGCAAACATTCCTTAAGCTTGCTTTCCTCATCAAGAGCAATCTATTTCAAACACGTCAATTTGTAGTTGGCATAAAAGCCTAATCGAAAACCTAATTGAACCAGTTATCAATCGACTCGTAATGACACTAATAAACTGAATAATAAGATTTTGAAAGATTCTATACATTTTTATCTTAAATCGAAATTGTACCGTTTGCAATGGGTATGAGCAGATTCTGAATATTGATAATCGAATAATACCAGACGAAGCATATTTGAAATAATTTATTTGACATGTTTATACGTTGGTCAGCCCTATAAAACTCTTATTCAATCAATACATTTTGAATTTTTACAGTCCAAACTACTTTTATATTGGTAACAACTAAAGGTGAAAACGTTTTTATTGTAATAGTAAAAGAGAATAAGACTCGAATAAGATTAAAACAATAGCAGGGAACTTCAATAGGAGTTAGAAATTTTTAACTCCTAAATAAGACTCATTTTGAATCGGGACGAGAATACCCCGGGTCAAAATTACTCTTCCCTGTCAAATACAAATTGCGCCGCTTTTCACTCAGCCAGCAAAAAGAGAGCGCACCAGGTGGGAGTGCATCACCGATTTGCCAGGCCGCTTGTCACTGCTGGACAGATGCTCGTCGCCGCCTCACTGCGGAATTAGCTGGGTGCCTGGGTCTTCTTCTTCCTTCTCGTTTTCTTCATTCTTCTCCTTCTTCCTTGGCCTCTTTCTCTTCTCCTTTTTCTTCTGATCTTCTATTGCGTTTGTTTTCTTGTTGGATTGTTTCTTCTTCTTTGTTTTTGTTTGATATGATTTCCTTTTTCGAATTGTTAATTTTTCAGTTTGAAGTTTTGTTTAATATGTATATTAATTTTTAATTATTTCATCTTTGACTCAATTTAGCCATTTATCCTAATAATGTTGGTAATAGTGAATCATATCATTGTTGAAATTAAAAAATTATGACACTTTTACAAACAATGTCAATAGAAAATGTAACTGTTATAAAAAAACATCAATGTAAAAAAATCATATCATCAAACAATGACACAATGTAAAAAATAATGTCATTTTGATCACACACGTTGACAATGTCATTATATGACAATGTAATGAGAATATAATGTCATTGTTTAAAAGTCAATGTCATACGAGTATATTATATGAAGTTCGACAATAAAATCAATGACCATGTCATAAGAATATCAATGACAATGTTATAAGAATGTCAATGACAAAGTCATAAAAATGTCAATGACAATGTCATAAAAATGTCAACGACAATATCATAAAAATGTCAATAATAATGTCATAAGAATGTCAATCATTATGAAAATGTCATACGAGTATATTATATGAGGTTCGACAATAAAATCAATGACAATGTCATAAGAATATCAATATAAGAATATCAATGACAATGTCATAAGAATGTCAATGATAAAGTCATAAAAATGTCAATGACAATGTCATAAAAATGTCAATAACAATGTTATAAGAATGTCAATCATTATGAAAATGACATTGTTAAAGCTCTAAAATATATGTGGTATGTAGTAATTCTTATTTTCAGCAGGTGCAACGTTTGCGAAACAAAGCAATTTCACTGGAGCGTGAATTGTCCAAATCGGGATGCAGAATCGTCGCCACAGCTCGCCGGATCCACCGGCTTGAATCCCTCTGCGCTGAGATAAACGGGAACAGTTCCGAGGATCCAAGCTCCAATCCTCCGCCCTGGGCTGTGGCTGTCCAGCTTGACGTGAGCGCAAATGGGCCCGCCATCGAGGCCGCCGTGCAGAAGGCTTGGGATGCTTTTGGCCGTATCGATGCCTTGGTTAACAACGCCGACATCAGAGCAAGAGTACACAGTCCATTGGATTTAACAGAAGAAGAGTGGGATAGCATCATGAGACCAAACTTAGTGGGAACATGGCTCGGCAATGCAAAGCAAGGAGGATCTGTCATCAATATCTCTTCAATTGCAGGATGAAGAATGCCAAGCCGAAGGGAAAGCTGATCGATAGAAGAAGATGCGAAAGAAAATAACGGCAACGGCTTCTGTATTAGTTTAAGAAATAGGGGCAATTTTGGAAACTTCTTAAAATTAGGTCCTATTTATTAGGAGTTAAAAAAGTCAAACTCTTATTTAATTACATACGGAAACTTAAGCTCCTATTTAACACCATTTCTCATAGTAAAACTATGTCCGGTGCCTAATAAGAGTTTTGAAGAAATTTTAGAAAACTATGTAGTCTTATTCATAATTTTGAAATTATGTGCTATAAAATATAGATATCAGTGAACTTCTTCCTCTAGTAGACTTCAACTTATGTGTTGGGTTGTTCTTTTGATGTCAATATGTTATAATAAAAGGGGAAACCTCTTTTAAAACTAAAAACATACATTGTATTGGTTTTTTTAACATAAAAGAGCGGTCATTATATTAAAATTGAGAACACAAACAAGACAACCTTGAGACATAACTTACAGATCCAATCGTGAACCCTAGGAGTAGATTTAGAGTCAGACACTTCATACAAAACAATCTGACTCGCTAAACCTGAAACTGGCAAATTTAGGCCTGAAATCTCATACAGAGCACTAGGTAGGAATTTCGTTAATTTATACTCCCTCCGTATTTTAATGTTCACTACATTAGGTTGGACACATTATTCATTATTTAAGGAGTAAAGTAGTAGTGTAGTGAATAGTGTAGAAAAGTAGGAGAAAGTGTAAAAGTATGAAAGAGAAGATAAAAAGTAGATAAAGTAAGAGTAGTTGAGTATTTTATAAAGTATAAACTTACCAAAAATGGAAGTGTAAGAAACTTTTAAATACAACTCAAAAAGAAAAGTGTAGGAAACTTTTAAATATGGAGGGAGTACTATTGAATCTGAACAATCTCATAGTGCCCGCTAGTGAACATCATTTGTGCATGTTGAAGGGATAACATATACTTCGTACAAGATATAAACTATTACTTTAATCAAACCATAGTCAAAACTAAAAAATACACAAATCCATGTAAAATAATAGATCCCATATAGTAGGTGTGCTCATAGGACACCCCATCCGCAGAGCATACATACTTGAACAGTAGAATGAGAAGATGCCACTGCAGTTATTATCCTTATGGACATATCTAAATAAGGGTGATTCCTTGTTCCTGCTACGAAATCATGGCCCTTCAAAGGTTAAGTGCCCAACCCCTTTATTGTCAATGTAGATGATGACGCTTATACCAATAGCTTTTAGTTCACTTTGAACTGCATTCCCAGCTTTGTCTTTTGATGTGGATGAATTAGCTTTGGAAGAACAACCAAATTTATGCATTTTTTTGTTTGATTTAATGCCACTGTTATTAGCAGAGGAAGACTGAAACGACTCACCCACAGATTTCATCTTGTTAGCCTTCCCAACAAATTTGTTCTCGTATGCTTTTCTCACCTGCCACACTTTGTCATCAAACTTGTGGCCATTAAGCACTTCCACTGCCCAAGCCGCATCATCTGCATCCCTAAAGTGGACAAATCCGTAACCCTTTGATATCCCATCTCCATCTCTCACTATTATAACGCTAGAGATCGTTCCCCCAAACCAATGAAAAGCGTTCCTAAGATCACCTTCAGCTGTTGATTCAGATAAGTTCCCCACAAATACATTAGTGGGGCTGTGTTTTTTCTTTTCTTGCTTCGGGGGGCAAGATTTTACTTGCATGTTCTTGTGCACCAACCTTGCACCATTCTTCATCTCAATAGCTTTCTGTGCAGCTTCTTCACTGCCATATTCAATATATGCATGCCCCATCGACACACCAGATCCATCTGTTACCACCTTGCAAGAAAGGATTTTCCCAAATGCAGAAAAAACATCATGGAGCATATCGTTGCTAATGGCCTTGTCCAAATTCTGTATACAAATGCTGCTATGACCACTTTTTTGCTCAGTGGGCTGTACATGGGACTGATTCATATCAACATTTCCCATGTCATTTAAATCCTACCAAAAAAACTAGATCAGAAAAATTATTAACAAGAACAATAATAATAATAGTAGTAGTAGTTCTTTTCACTTCCCACATACTCCGTATATTTTTAGCAAGATACTTTCTTAACCTGAGGTAATTGATTAACACTTCGTACACATATTCCTAGGATCTAAACAAAGCAAAAATAAAAGCCATTCCTTAGCCAAATCAAGTCCATCACACTCGATAAGAAATTTTTAATGACTGCGGTACATTGCACGATTACAAATAACCTTTCATCCCAATATAAATTTCTCTATTTCCTTTTATGGCTGTCTAGTAATATACTTCACTTCCATTTTAAAAAAAGAATTGTGTGGTTGACAATATATTTTTCCTTTTTCTAAAACAATCTCAACCACACGATTTCAGTTTCTAACTAGTGTCATTCCCACTATGAACTTTAGATTGGGACAGAGGGAGTATATAGCTTCAAGTTTCTATGTATATATACCTTTGTATTACTTTGGTGTCCCCTTCCTAGTACACCAGGAGCTTCTGTTGGTTCAGTTTCACTTTTGGAAGAATAAAGTGATCCAGATTTTGAAGTATTCCTATTACAATCACCCAACTGAGAATGTTCATTATTAAAGCATCCATCATCTAAGCTTGCATGACCTCCTTGGTTATCATTAACGAGTCCGCCATCCACACCTCCATGGTCATCCTTGGCGCTAAAGCATTCAGCATCCATGCCTTCATGGCTTCCCTTATTGTTAAAAGATTCGTGTTTTATGCCACCAGAACCTCCATGATTGTTAAAAGGTTTACTCTCTCCAGGTCCATGACCTGCAGCTCCATGACCACTACCTCCCCAATATCCACCTCCAAGACCTCTACCTCCTCGACCACTACCTCCCCTACCACCACCTCCATGACCTCCACCTCCACGACCACCACATCCATGACCCCCATTGTTGTTTTTCAGGGTTTCGCTATCCACACCTCCGCGACCACCACCTCTATGACATCCACCTCCACGGACACCACCTCTGTGAAATCCACCTCCACGGACACCACCTCTATGATATCCACCTCCACGCACACCACCTCTATGGAATCCACCTCCACGGACACCACCCCCATGACCTCTATCTCCACGAAAGCCCTGGTTGTTTTTAGGGGTTTTACTGTCCACAGCTCCGGGAATCCCCCCTTCACAAGCTCCCTGGTAGTTCTTAAAGTGTTCAGTGCCCTTACAACCATGACCTCTCTGGTTGTTCTTAAAGCGCTCACTGTCCACACCTTCATCACCACCACTCCCACTAATTCTATTTCCATGAAATTCACCTTCTCCGACGCCTCGACCTTCCTGGTAGTTGTCAGGTTGTCCAAAACCTTTCACAGAGCCACATTTATTGTTGTCAATGTCTTCAAGCTCTTTCCCAGTTCCATCTTCAGACAGGTGCAGATTGCTATGTGAAGTGCTAGTCTTACTCGCATCTCTGCATCCACCACAGAAATCCCGACTGCACCAACTGTTGGAGCAAAGTTTGTTGTCGAAATCTGCAAAGTCTTTGGTAGTTCTTTTTGTTTCCACAGCCTGCAAGTTACTATTACCATAAATATTCATATTTACCCTCAGCCAATCAAGTACATTTAAGCAATTCATTAAAATTTAACTTTCTAAAGTACTCTGATATTCTATTCTTAGCCAAAAGTGGTCACTGTAATCACTAAAAATGATCTTAAAAAATTGTCACTTCTTAAACAAGCTACTAAGAATTGTTTCAGCCACACCTTTCTGAACAAAACTTCACCGTATTGTATCCTTCATTTTACAACAGCAAACGTATTTGAAAATAACTATCCAAGATTTCAACATGTTGATTAAACATACTTTGAATCTTAAGCCCAGGGGCATAGCTAGGGGGGCAGCTAGGCCCCAGCCCACCCCAAATTTGAGAAAAACTTGGTCTATATGGCTATGCAAATCTATATTTAAAAAGAATCTTTGTACTGACCCAGCAAATCTATACCTACGGCTACACCACTGATCCCTAAACTTTGAAAATCATAGCAATTTCATACCTTAGCATTAGCTTGGTTTGATTCGGTAACACCTGCATTTCCTTCATACTTCTTCTGCAGTGCATCCCAAGCTTCTTTAGATGTTTCGGCATTAGCAATGCAAGGCAAAACAGATTCGTGTATAGTTTTGTGGATAAAAATCAAGGCCAACCCATCCTTATACTGAACATTTTGCAAAGCCTCAACCATAAGCTCCTCTCTGGTATAGCCTCTTTCCACCAAGTCCCAAAAATCTAGGGTCTCGAGCATAGCTTTCATCATAGTTCTCCATGTCTTGTATCCACTCCCATTAAAACTCGGAATTCCACTCGACAAGGAGCTTGAGGTTTTCCAGGTTACACAAGGAAAAACGGCAACACAGAGAAATTAAAATTCAATGCAATTAGAGACGAAATGTCATCAGGTTAGTTCAATAGTTCCTATTAATTTCTTGTTGGATCTACAATTAATATTTACTGGAGGCATAATGTCGTAATAAAACATACACACATAAATTGCTTCCATGCCATGTGATCATGTATTGAATCAGAAGTGCGCTTACTGTGTCGTAGCCCAAACGAATTACCAATTCTTTGCGATCATCTCAACACGATAGAGAAACTAAGGCAAAATATCAATTTATGGATCTAAAAATTTGAATGACTACAAAAAAGTAGAGATCATTACCAAATATCGGCTATCAATTTATGTGCAGCTGGATCAACCTTGGTCGTTTCTGGATCAGCTTGTGTTCCCTTGTAAAGGTATCCGAACTGCTCTGCAAGTCTGGCTACAGCTGCAACCGTCGTGAGGGTGGCGATGATCGCCGGATACATTTCCGCTCCGAGAGAAAGGATTATTTTGCCGAGTAGTACATCAGCACTAAAAAGGAACCTCCACTAATCCACTTCCACTATACATAGTGACTAAACAGTCAAAAAAACTAAAGTTCCCGCGGGGCCCACCCATCCCTGTCCCATTGCATACGAAGGACAACGTATGTTGTTCCAAGTTCCAACGAAGTAGAGAATATACACTCCTATTGACCCAACATGTTTTAAATGAGATGCATTTTTCCCGTAAAATATATGGTACAACTGGTTGTACGGTGCACATGATCAAGCCAGGTTTTTCTTGGTTATTAGGCTTCTTCAACCTAGCCTTCGCATAAGGCTTCTATGTTTCGCCTACGCGCAAAGCTTCACACCAGACTTCTTCAATTTAGCTTGCTTCTTCGATTTGATTTTGCACCAAGCTAACTGTCGTCGACGTTCACCCCTTTCTCCTTCAGCTCGCTGCTGGTCGCCGCCTATAACCACTCGCCCCTTCTCCTCCGGCACAAACGCAGCGACTCCGGCTCTGGTTCCGGCGTAGTTACCTCTCCTCCTCTGTCTTTCTTTCCGCTCTTTTTCTCTTTTTCTCAAACAGTTTTATTGTCTGAGCTTGTGATTTTTGGAGACAAACGAAGTCTACTTGGTTGCTGAGAAATCCTTACTGCTATTGATATTAAATGAGTTTTATATTAAACTCAAATAAGTACAAGCCTAAAAGAAATGAACACACATAGATTAATATTGAGCGCATTGGAAATGAGTTTTATGTTAAACTCAAATGAGTATAACGAAAATGAATGAGCATACACAAATGAGTTTTTGAATTTTTTCATACTCATTTCGTAAGTTATGTATGCTCATTTGGTACTGCTTTATGTTCATTTTAAAATGTTTCACATTTCAAATGTATCATACTACATTATATTCACATATTGAAATTAATTTAAATTGAATATTGATAGAGTATATCTAGAGAGAGGTGAGAGCTAGAGAGAGAACTGCAATAATATGCTTCAATAGAATGAATTCGTAACCCCTATAACTACTCCCAAGGGGAGTATTTATAGAGAAAATACGGGCTGGGCTCCCAAGCCTTGAGCTTGGGAGGCCCATTTACAACTAGACCGCTACTGGGCCGAATACAAAGCCACTAATGGGCTGTACAAATGAGTAAGTGTAAAATCCGGTTCTGTGTGGTCTTCGTGGCCGACGAGGGCGTGGCCGACGAGGGCACGGCCGACGAGGGCACCCGGGTTCCTTGGCTTCAGGACCATATTCTGAGTTGGTACCCTTTCGGCCGACGAGGGCACCACTCAGTGTCCTGTGCTTTCTGTTCTTCTGAGTATGTGGGTCCTGGGGCTCAGACCCATATACTCCATCAGGAGTCCCCCACTCTCTAAGCTGAGACGTAGACGAAGTGAAGGAGAGTAGATTCCCGTGCTTTGGTGCTTTTGGCCGATGCGGGCACTCCCAGGCCGTTAGCTGTTGCGGCGTTGGCGCTGTTTCCCTTTTGGTGATCTTGTTCTGTGCTTGGCCGTTACCTGCTCCTCGCTATGGATGGGAAGGCCGTTGAAGGCGCGTTTTCCCTTTCTTGGACGTTGATGGTTGAAATTTACATTTGAGCCGATGAGGCCGTTTGGGGTTGAACCTTGCTCCGAGGACGATGGCGTCCTTTCCTTTGGGTGGCCGATGAGGGTGCTTGCACACTCCTTTTGGCCGTCGCTGATTGGCTTCGTGTCCTTGGCCGGAGAGCCCATTATGATTAACTGTTGGCGGAGGACGATGAATGTCCTTGCCTTAGGTGGTCTTTTGGCCGTTGTTGATGGTGTTATGTGGCCGACGAGGCGCCGTGTTGTCCAAAGTGTCTGGCCGGAGATGGAGTCACGAAAACCTTGGCGCCTTTGTGGTACATGGACGTCAGTGGTTTAGGTATGTTGACCTTTCTCTTGGTTCCTGGCTTGAGTGATGTGGTTTCGAAGCCGATAAGTGTCCTGTGATCTCAAGCTTTGCTGTGGCCGAAGGTGCACCATGACGTTATGGACGTTGTGGTGCATGTCTGATGTTGTAGTTGTGGACTTGGTGTATTTTTGGATTTCTCTTTATTTTGCCTTTTGTTCTTGAGGCCGGTGTAGTCCCCCAGTCCCCCACTGCTTCAGGCCGAAGAGTGAGTGAGGGGTGAAGGAGTAGATTGAAACGCAGGCCGAAGTGGGATCCTCATACTGCCCTTGAGTCCAACCCTTTGGCGATTTCCTTACCAAGGTAACCCTGTGGGAGAACCCTTGGACGCAGGTCACTTTCAAAGGGTTATCATCAAGGATTTAGTGCGAGGGCCTCATGGACATTACGTTCATCTCCTTCGGGATGGTGTGACCATCTGGGTGGCCGATACGAGTGTCGTTGGGGTACCGTTGTATGCTGTTGGCCGTAGAGTTCCCGTTCCGTAGACCCTGATTTGTCAGCGGGCTCTTGATATGTAGTTTGGGCTTGGCCCATTGGTGACGTGGTGGTCTCCCGCTGGTGGCCGTTGATGTGGCCACTGGGAGGGTGCCATGTGTAGTGACCGTTGGGTGGGGGGTTCTATAAATACCCCTCTCCATCCGACGAGAATTTCTTACTTGCAATCCGAGTTGTCGAAGTGCTGGCCAAATTTCTAGAGAGATAAACTCCCAAGCTTGTGTTCTTCGTGTTCTTCGTGTTCAAGGTTAGTGTTCATCGAAATCTTCTCTGTACTTTGCATATTTTGCTTCCTAGGCTAGTGATCTAGTGTTAGGCGCTTGAACACCCTTAGATCTTGAAGTAGGCTGCAGTATACCCGAAATAGTGTTTAAGATGAAGAACTTCAACGAAGAGTACTATCCCTATGACGATGAGCCCTCCGCCCAGTCCCTTGATTATCAGGTGGTCGAGGAGTTCTGTGAGGAGCTTGAGGATCTGAGCTCGTTCAGGACCGGGGAGCCGGCCGAGGAGGACGGTGTGGACGAGGGGTCCGCGTCATCGTCTGGAGATGGGGACGCAGGTGTCTCCCGAACTGCTGATGGGGCGTCCACGTCGGCTGCCATTCCCTACCCGAAGCCTGTGTCTGCTGTGAAGGGCGTCGCGCCGCCGAAGAGGGTGAGGAGGCCGAAGAGAGGGCCAGCTTTCTCTTACTTGGATTTGACGAACATCTATGTTATCAGGCCGCAGAGTAATGCGGGTGAATACCTGGTCGCCCAGATGTATGTAGGGCCGTATGGCAGGGTTAGGGCCCCCAGGCCGACGGACCATGTCCTTAATCCACCCTCGGGCTACTTTGGAGTGTACCCGATGAGTTTTGCTAAAGGACTTAGGTTCCCGCTTCATCCCTTTATCACCGAGTACCTAGATATGGTGGGGCTCCCTCCGGCCTTGTTGACGCCGAATAGTTACTCGCTCATCGTCGGCTTCCTTCTGCGGTGTGCTGAGTTGGATTTCAGGCCGACGATGGCGCTGTTCATGAATCTTTACCAGATAGGATGCGGGAGTCACCAGAACTGTGCGTCGTATGCCACTCTCCAACAACTGCCCAAGAAGAGGAGTTTTACTGACCTGCCGACGTCCATCCATGGCTGGAAGGGAAAGTTTGTGTTCGTGTCTTTGGGCGAGGGGGGCACAGAGTTTCCCTCTGTCGGCCATACCGGCCGTTTTAATCTTCATGATACGCCGAGGGGCTCCATCTTGGACGCTCAGGTTGAGGCTTTCCTGAAAGGAGGGCCGAGGAGTGTGAAGACGTATATTACAGAGTACAAAATGGCCGCCCTCGGCTTTGTACGGTATTTTGTGTATGGTGATCTTGACGACGATGTGGAGTTTTGGCCGAAGATGACCACGTCTTATGAGGAGGCTGATGGTCCCGATCTGGGGGTGCCAGTTGAGGCCGATGGTAAGTCCTTTCTGATGCGCTTCCTGTCGTCATACTTTTGTATTCCATTTTTCTAACCCTTAGTGTTTTTGTGATGCAGGTTTTGTGATGGATCGCATGTCATTTATGAAGAGGGCGCAGCTGAAAGCGGCCGAGGAGCTGAAGGCCCAACAACCTGGAGCCACCGCTGCGGCCAAGCCCCCGGTACAGCCGAAGAAAAAACGGCAGGCCGATGAGGGCCAGAAGAAGTTGACTGAGGTGGGAATGAAGCCTCCCAAGAAGTCAAAGAGGGCTTCCTCTGCTGGTGATGCTGGGACGTCGGCTGTTCCTTCTGGGGACGGAGGGGGTTCAAACCCTGATGTTTTGGTGGACCACCCTTCGGGCCCTTCGTCCACCACTCTCTCCACTGTTCCTGCTACTGTAACGGCTGCCCGGAAGAAAGGGTCCGGCCGAGAGCTGGTCAAAGGGGGGCTGTTCAACGAGATTGTTGACGGCCACGAGGTGATTTCTCAAGCCATTCCTGACGAAGACCGGGCTTATCTGAAGAAGCTCGGCCATGTCAAGATGTACGATGGTGGGATGGACCACATCGTCCAAGTAAGTAATCCTGCCCGCTTCGACTTAATCTCCTCTCCCCATTTTTCTGTTTTTTTTTGCAATGTCGTCTAACCCCTTTTTTGCTTCAGGGTGCCTTCATGTTGATGGAAAACAACAGGAGGCAAGAAATGGAGATTGCTCGCCTGAGGCAGTTCGAGCAAAAGGTGGCCTCAGCCGATGAGGCGCTAGGCAGCTTGGAGAGGCTGCGTCTTGAGGTTGAGAGCCTGAAGAAGAGGGCTGAGGAGGCCGACCAGTTGGCCACTGAGAAGGAAGGGGCCCTCCAGCGTTTGGCCGACGTGGAGCGTGCTCGCGACGAGGCCCTCCAGCGTGCGGAGGAGGCCGAGAAGGGCAAGGCCGGTGCAGAGCTGGCTCTTAGCGCCGCCGAGGAGAAAGCCGTTGATGCTGCTGTGCAGAAGTTCCTTGAAGTCGGCTGGAAGGACGAGGCCCGGCTTCCTTTTTCTTTGAGGTCGTGGCGGCCAGGCTCGTTGACTGGGTGACCCAATCCCCCGACGGCCAGGCGTACTCGGAGAAGGAGATGAAAATCTTCTACGACCTTGGCCAATACCGGATGCAACGGCTGTTGTATAGGAGGCTTCAACGGCGTTTCCTGGATATGGGTGTGACCCAGGAGTGGGCCGTCGGCCTTGAGC